AGAATTAGGTTGGGCCTAGTTCTCCTCATCTATAATAGGAGAACTTTAGGAAAGATCATCTATCGAAGACCCTGACAGTTCTAACACTTTATAACAGCCTAAACCTGTGTTTTGTTTTGTTTTCCCTTATTTATATTCAAATGATTTCCTCATGAAATAAAACTATTATTATATGATTTAGCTTTCTGACATAATAAAATTTGTTTTTGGCATTAATAAGGGAATACTGATTTAAGACTTATTACTATGTAGATTCCTGGGTAGATAATATACCCATATGAAAAAAAGTAGACTTTCCATAGGGCTTTTATAATCAATCAGTAAGTTTCATCCCTTCTATCACCTAAATATCTGTGCAGTTCATCTTTTTTTTTCCATCCTTACTGCTATTTCAGGTAGTCATTTGCCTCAAGTACAAAGCTGAGCTCATCTCTCTCCAGGGATTCCACACTGCTTCTAAGATAGAGTCCAAACTCCTCCATAACTTTTTCTGCTTTTCAATTATGTTGAAAATAATAATGAAAATATAATAAAACAACTTAAAAGAGCAAATAAGATATAACCTAAGTGTCACATGGTATTTTGATATTATAACAACTCTGGCTAATTTTTATTTGTTTCCAGGCTTTGTTTATCTCAGCACCTTTCTTGACTTGAAATGACCTTTCTGAGAACTTGTTGTGTATTCAAATTCTACATATCCTGCAGAGCTAATTAAGTTCTATCTCTTTCATAAAATCTGACACTTTACAGCTTGTAAATAAGAAATATCCAAAGGGGGTTCAAACAATTGATGGAAAAATTCCTGGGCAAGAAGGCAGAGTAGGCAGACACACTGAGCAGACCCGCTGAAACAAAGACCAGGGAGAGAAGTGAAACAGATCAGGATGGGGAGCTGGAAGCCCGAGCGAGCTCTTGATGAATGGATAAAGAGGGGGACTGAGTGCTAACTGGGAAAAGTTGAGCAGAAGCAGAGAAAGAAGAGCCAGACACGTAGGCTGTCAGCCAGGCCTGGAGAAGTGCCAACATCTTGAGCTTTTGTGGGCAGCTCTATACTGACACAGCAGCCAGGAGGTATTGGAGGTTGTCTGCAAGAGAAGTGTGGTTCTCCTTGTTCTCCAGGGTGTCCTGGTGGCCAAAGGTATGGCCAGCCCCTGCCTTTGCCCATCCCACAGCCATCGACACTCCCTCTTGCA